TGCGTGAGGACGATTGTGAGGGAGTGTTCACATGTCAGTGCTGTAATGGCAGTGGAGGGGGGGTGTCAGGGCGCTGGCTGGCAGATATGGAGGGGGGGGGGGGGGGGTGGGTGTCATCTTGTAGTGATTAATGACGTCCCTGACCCACCCGTGAGTGGGACCGTGTGGATTCCACTGGCCACCCTGTGAGCAATCGGGCCGGCACCCTTTGTGAAGCCTGTCCGAAGCCCCTGGCCCTTTGAGCCCTGGGGAATGGCCCCAGCGACACGGTGCGGACCGAACAAAGGCCGCCGGGACACCGGGAGCCCCGGCTGTGCTGTTCACCTGAAAGGGCTAAATGGAGCACGCTGGGATGGGAATTCCTCAGCCAGCAGCACCAATGACCCCAAGCACCATTCCACACTTTGTTTCCCTCCCTTTTAAAAGCACACACTGCGTCTCTCAATGTTTTACTGGACGCAGTGGTTTTATGACCAAATGTAATTTTTTCAGGATTTTTCTTGGAAAATACCCACTGTCAAACATCTAAGTTTTGCTGGGTTTTTCTTTTTCATGTTGACATTCTGTCACCAGCACCCACTTCTCTTTTCACATGGTACATAATTATGTGGGATTTTAATTGTATGATTCATTTTACCGATTTACTTAAATACCTGCATAGATAGGAAGCAATTCATCGCTTACTTGTCTGTTTTTGGTTTTTAGTGTGTAGTTGTCATCATCCTGAGGAGTTGGCCATCACCCTTCTGTACATGTGGTTTGGATGGCGTACATGCTGCTCTCTGGTCACCTAGTGCTGCCTGTGTATGACGTCTCCAGGCCAGATCCACACAGGCTGCTGTCTTGGAGGGTTTTAATTTAGTCCTGATTGACACCTGACGCACCTGTCAAGCTACTTGAAATAATCTACATACTTTGAGAGCTTCCAGGACTGTGGATGGGTACCAGAGGCCGGAGCCTGAGTGGGCAAGCCTGGCATTGATCTACCTGAGGTGCTTATGGCTTTGCCATCGGATCAGTTGTTTAATTCAATAAATATAGGTATTCATATACGTCTACAAGATCTTACAGGATGAACCTACAGAACCATGGCAGTCCTGGAAGATGGTTGCCTGACTGTGCTCTGAATACAGGCTGCCCTGTCATTCCAGCTTATGAAAGGCTGCTTGCTTTGCTTTGTTATGTTTTATTATGGAGTCATACCATATATAGCTAAATATACTGAATATGTTTCTGGTGGGAGTGCATTGGTGCGCCATTCAGCCTCTGTCCCCCTGCTCGTGTCTCCCCCCTCTCCCTCTCTGGATGCAGCAATGCCATTAACCTGCTGAGCAACATCACTGTGTCTTGTTTGGACGTGCTGATTGACGTACCAGTCCAGGATGGCCAGGCGCAGTATGAGGGCAGGAACATGGAGGCAGTGTGGGTGCTGCTGAAGTTCATGGAGAAGAGGATAGACAGGGTAGGTGTTGTGCCTGGGGGTGTAGCGTATGGGATTCCTGGCATTCCCATACAGGGCAAGCCTGCTCCTCCCACACATCCCTTGTGTGTCCGATTCCGCACAGGGTGCGAACTATAAGGAGGGCCTGACGCCGGTGCTCAGCCTGCTGACCGAGAGTTCGCGGCACCACCGAGAGATCCGGAAATACATCAAGGCCCAGGTGGGCTAACGGACACCCTCTCAGACCCTACGAAACAATACCCCCTTAATCTTTCTCTGCATCACATCAAGTGGTACCGTCCGATTCCTGCAGGTCCTCCCCCCACTGAAAGATGTGAAGAACCGGCCCGAGGTGGGATCCACGGTGCGAAACAAACTGGTGCGCCTCATGACTCACGTGGACACAAGTGTGAAGCAGAGTGCGGCAGAGTTCCTCTTCGTTCTCTGCAAGGAGAGCGGTAAGAGAGCCGACCCCAGCACCTAAGCCGGGCTGAGGGGGGACATGGGATGGAAACTAGCAGGTCCCAAGCACATTCTACTGCTATTATTTCTAACCCTCAGTTAGAAACCCTCAGTGTCGTGACTGGCTAATACAAACTGTCCCAAAGATTAGATGGATGTGGTTGTCCAGATGCGAAATATAGGAAAATGATGGCATTTATTAACATTTTTGGACACTAAAGAAGAGACGTATCACATTAATTTGTCTCTTGCTGTGATGTAGAGTGAGTAATTTGCAGATTGTGAACACACTGCTCTGTGTCTCGCAGTGGACAGCCTACTGAAGTACACAGGCTACGGGAACGCGGCAGGACTCCTGGCGGCCCGTGGATTGCTGGCGGGGGGTCGTGGGGAGGGGCAGTACTCTGAGGATGAAGACTCTGACACGGATGAGTACAAGTCAGCCAAACGTTTGTGAGCATTAGGGTTTGGGGTGTCCTTTTTGAGAATGTGTAATTTAACATAGGGCTACGTACTGTGATGTAAGTAACTCGGAACTATATCATGCACACTATCTGCAGATGATGAAAAAATATTAAGAAGCCTTGGGATCAGATCTGAACATGTGCTAACAGTTTAACAAGAATAGAATATTAAAGATGTAAGGAATGAAGATGATGGACATGAGCTCACAGAGATTAGGAATATGATTCCACATTGCATAAAGTAAACTGTAATTTTCAGCATTTGGAGAGAAATAGTGCCACATACTGGATTGGACTGGATTGACTGGCTTGCTTTTGGGTTCTTGAGCCAGACGAGTGTGACTTTGGTTGTATGTTTTGGGCCATCGTCTTGCAGTCTTCTCCCGGGTCTGTTGTGAATTGCATATGGTCTTCCTGCCAGATTTCTCTGTTTCCATTTTGCCTTCTGTCTTCATAAGTCCTGATTGGGGGGGGGGGGGATGCCTCCCCGAGTTGCCACTAACATGCTTTACTGGGATTGTGTGTGGTGTTTAGATTGGGCCATATATCAGCATCAAGGCCAAAAGGACCAATCTTGGAATGATTAGTTTTGTTTGGTCTTGGTGTCCCAAATACCTTTTGGACAAAAATGGTTGTGTGTGTGTGTATGTCTGAGCTACAAAAGCTCTGGTTTTTACTAAAATGTCCTCTTCTGGGCACATTTTCAGGTGTGCTGTTTTTCCCCCATGCCTTGATCAAGGACATTCATTTGGGCATTTTTACTTGGAGCTTTTCCTGCCTGCCTGCCTGCCTGTCTGTGTCTCATGGGGTATAGAAAGTGCTTTACAGTTTCACAGACATTTTAAAGGAAGAAAAAGAAAGAAATTAGAATAAGACTACAATAAATAGCAGTAAGCACAAAAAATGTAAACATGGAATACATTTAAAAAATTTAAATAACAATAATAAAATACCACCAAGAATGTGGGACTTTAACCAGCCACATTCTTGGTAGGGGCCCCTAGCACACACCCGGGCCTAAATCCTATATGCCTAAATCCTAATTGGTGCTACAATTTCATTTAGGGTGATGTCACGCATACAATCTCTCATTGCAGCAGAAATAACATTTGCGTAGTGTTTCATCGTAACAAACATCCCGTTAATATTCCTCCTCGCCGAGTTCACTCGTCTCCTTGTGTCTTCTCAGCATCAATCCCATCACCGGCCACATTGAGGAGCCTATGCCAAACCCCGTGGAAGACATGACCGAGGAGCAGAAGGAGTATGAGGCTGAGAAGCTGGCCAGCATGTTCGACCAGCTGTCGAGGTGCGGCTCGTGGCTTGGGCGCCGTCTGTCATTGGTCCATCACCGTGACTTTTCTTGATATTGTGTCTCTAGTAACATCCATCACACTCCTGATCCATCTTTCTGACTCCCGTGTACGTGTGTGTAGGTTCCTTGTTCATACTGCTTCGATCAAAGTTTGTGAAACAAGCTCGAGGATCACTGTACGACTGTTAGAATAGAATGTCGATTGGTGTGAATGGACCACTTTCCCACATAATCATTCAAGTGATGCATATGCATCTTGGATCAGAATTAGTGACTTTCCAGTGGGAGAAGCTCTGTGTTGTGGCTAACTCAACATGCGCGCAGGTGGGTGAGCGCGGGTCGTTCCTGAGCGCGCTCCCTGCCAACCGCTTACTCAAAGCAAGAATTCTCGCATCTGTCCGGCCAAGAGCCACTCCTCAATTACCGCCGCCCTTGCCGAGCCACTGCATTCAGCCGGAGTCAATAGAGCCGCCCGGCTTACCGGCTCGCGCTCATTACAGGCACTGCATTAATTACCCGCTAATTGGTGCACGTGGTGGGCTGGGGAGGCAGCTCCCTTTATGTCTCATGGTTCCTTTTTGATAACATATACATATCGCCCCTTTGTATCTGACCCTTTGTCTGACAGAAATGCCAAACAATGTCCACTAACAAGGAGAGGACCTGGACACTAGCTCAATTAGATGAGGGTTTCATTGATTTGGAAGGCAGAAGAGGGCAGCGGCTATTGTCTGGTGGGGAGAAGCGGTAATGAGAAGCACGTGTCGGGGAGAGGTGGACCCCCCATCACCGGCACCAGCATCACCCCCCCCCCCCTCCTCACTGTGCTGGTGTGCAGTCCTTCGCCAACACCCTGCTCCCGCCTCTTGGGAGACCTGGTGCAGGCGAACAGGAATGTGCTTCACCTGCCTCTTAATTGCAGGTCGCAACCATTTTCCAATGACTTTACTCGCCCCCCTCCTTGTCTGAATGGGGGAGGGCCGCTAGCAGAAGCTACGGTTTGAAAATGGCATCGTCCCCTGGGCTGTTTGTATTCCTGTGGACCCACCATCTCCTCTGACCTTATTATGGCCTTGATTCTTTCTGATCTTGTTTGCTGACAGATGAGAAATCAGAGCTCTAGCTTACTGTTGCCTCACCTTTGGGACCATGGTTCAAGTCTCCGCCATGGCTCCATGTGGCATTTACATGTTTTCCCTGTGAATTGTAGTAACCAAATATGGATGGATCAGAAGCGTGGGTGCTATTAGGATGATGCCCCCTTACCCTTGTCGGAACTTATTTTATATATTTTACATTTTTAGGGTCCAGGCTAAGGTGTTCACTGACATCACAAAGCTTTTCTCGCCTACCAAGCTTTTTCTTTTAATTTTTTTAAAATCCCCATGAATCCTATTTAGGATAAAGAGTTAGATGGAGGGATGCATCTCCTTTTGTCTCATACATTTGATTTGTTTCCATGTTTTATTAACAAAAATGAGGAAACCCCCCCCCCTTCCCTCACGTACAAAACTATTGAGGTTACCTTTGAAAATTAATCTAATTTCAGTTTTTCACATGACTTCCAAATTGGCGCAGGATATGATGTCAGTGCAGCATCAGCGACTAACTTAATAAATAATCTAGCCTACGGAGTTCTCTTCATAACGTCATGTCTGGGCCAGGAGTGGAGGTCATTTGATTTCCGGCCCCACAGTGGAGATTGCTCAGTGTTCTGCAGCTAGGTCCTCTTGGATGTATGAGGGTAAGCAGGGGCAGAGGAACAAGATGTGAGGGGGCAAGAAGGAGCAGAGGAACAGGAGGTGTAGGGGGCAAGGAGGAATGAAGGAACAGGTGATGCAGGGGGCAGGAAGGAGCAGAGGAACAGGAGGTGTAGGGGGCAAGGAGGAATGAAGGAACAGGTGGTGCAGGGGGCAAGAAGGAGCAGAGGAACAGGAGGTGTAGGGGGGCAAGGAGAAGCAGAGGATGAGATGAGCAGGATCATAGAAGCAAGGTAGTGAGGGACTGAAGCAGAAGAATAGGAATTGGAAAGATGATTGCACTATGAACATTACAATAGTCTGTGGTCTGTTAATGATCCACTGTTCATAAAGTGGGGTGTGGTGGAACTACATAGCATTTTATGGTGATTTAACATGTACCTGCGGAAAGTGTCCACAATTCCATCTTTGTAAGCTATGCTGGGCTTTAGATGACTTTGCATTGCTTTCATTTTACCGTTCGAATGAATGCAAATGATGGCTTTGATTGGGTAATTCGTTGATAAATCTTAGGCTGCGCTGGTGCCACACAGTGCAGATATAATTGGATTAGCATTGAGGGGCCGCTGCAGCTTTGAAGAGATTAGAATGAGCGCTGATCCTGTAATTAAACTGCCGGGAAGAATGGCCACCGGGCTGGGGGTGGGGGCCTGGGGGGGGCATCCAAGGGTCCTCAAGCACCTCTGAGGCGGATGTGGGGGTAAGAAAGATGTCTCCCGGAATAATGGGTCCCATTAAAAAAAAAAAAAAAAAAAAGAATTGGAGGAGGTTAGTGGGGGTGCGAAACGCCAACAGCAGCGGTAAGAGACGCCTCTTCCAGCTGCAGGTGGATTGCAGAGAGGGAGCAGCACAGAGGCGCAGCCCCCACGGGTGCAAAGAAGTACACCTCCTTTATGTGGACTGACACGGTGGCCTCCCGCAAGCCTTTCAGATCACTTCAATTCCATCCTCTGTGGACCGTTAATTGGCTTCAGAGGAGCAGATGCCTTTGTCTGTTCCGTCTTGTTGGTACACACTTCTTCCTGCAAGTAGAGTTTTGTTTGGCTTCGCATTTGTTAGCTGAAAGCTGCTCACACATCTGTAGCTAATAGTCTTTTGAAAGCTCAAGTATAGTGAAATGACTCGCTGATTATTTGTTTTTTTTTTTCTTTCTTTTTAAAGAGATCAGTTGTTTTTAAAGATATAATTTTCTGAAGCATTTCTTCTGACAGGAACTTGTATTCCTTAGCAATTTTGGTATGTAAACTGTTTGATATCACTTTATGTTCACTTACCATATACTTATTGATTTGTGTTTCCAGACAGGAGCTGATAAAACCGATGGGTGTAAGGCGAGATGGCACGTTGGCTCCCCTAGAGGAAACAGTCAGCAAATGCACTGTGGACAGCAGCAGCTCTGACTCAGACTAAAACGGAAATGCATGACTCCTCAGTCCTTCCCATTCTTAAACGCAGTCTCAAAAACAGGAAATTGGGAAATAAAACAAAACTGTGTACATGTCGATTAGGAAATGTACCCAAACAGAGGCCTGCATATATGCTGGAAAACTTCACTATTGGGCATGATAGAGAATGATTTGAAATGTTTAAAAATACCTGTTTTATGATCGTTAATAGACGTGTTGTGAAAAGTATGATACAATAACCAAAGGTCAAAAGATATTCTGACCAAAGGTGAAAAGTGATGTTATGACTTCGGCCCGACCGATTTTGGAGACCTTTGGAACGAAAGCATTCCTGCACATTATTTGTATGTACCTAAATAGCAGGGGTGGGGTGGGAAATCATTTGTTACAGATTCTTTGAGATTTAAAATTGAGTTTCAATATCCATTTAAATGTAGGTTACTGTAATTATATGGGTCACTTTTGTTCTAATATATTTGCCTAGTTGAACAGCGTGATTTTAAGAGACCGACGTGTGAGTCTGGCTTGGTGCTGTCATGAATGAGCAAGTGTGTTTGCAGAGACTTTTCCACCACCATCTCAATTTAAATCCAGACTTTGCGCAAACTTTTTATTCTGTTAAGTAAATGGACATCTAGACATGAGTACAGCTTCTTGGTTTTGTGGTCCGGTGCAGTTTCAGTACACTAGAGAAACTAAATATGTTTTGAAATGGTTAAAACTATAAACTCAATGCAGAAACAGTTGTAAACCAAACATGAGACGATGTGTCGGTCGACGTGTCTGAATAACAAACCCTGAGATGCTCATTTGCACTGTAAAAATGTTAATTCAAAAGAATAATCATAATGAACTTCTGAAATTATGTTCTCTACTACCATAAGAAATTTACAAACGAGAGGAGGCCATTCAGCCCATCAGGCTCGTTTGGGGAGACCTTAATAGCTCAAGTATGGTTTGCGTATCTGTAGCGTTAAACACTCGTATAAGCTTGTATAAGAAATGTATTATTAGTTTTGTTGCTATTCTGAACTGAAAATGATGTAACCAATTGGCACACAAATACAACCCTTTAAATGCTATTCAGCAAACACTATTAAAAAAATTGCGATACATATCGAATGGCAAATATCGATATACTACTGATTGAGGACAGATCTGCCACTTGCCACCTCTATGGAATACTGTTGAAATTAGCTGTGTATAGAAAGAATGAAACAGGATATATATTGTACACAGCAGCTCATAAGTCTTGGGAAAAGTGTCTTTTACAAGGGTAAATGTAAGTAGTTGGTACATGAAATCATGAGGTTCAATTTAACACTGACTAACCACCACAGGCTTAAATTCTCAACTGCTCACTCACTCTTACCAAAAATGTTTGCGTGCGGTACAGTATAGTGTGTCATAGATGGTCAAATAGAATTATTACAAAACATTATGTAGTTTTGTTCACAAAACCTTTGTATGGGCAACTTTTTATATATTGATTTTGTTTTGCATGGTTAACCCTGGGTTTGGGATTTTATTCTTGTTTTTTCATAAAAACTGTTTCAGTGCACTGATAAAGCCCTTTTTAAAATAGTGCTGTAATGTGTGTTCATTCTAGGCTTTATCCGAAGTAGTGTATTTTCTATCCATCAATGAGCCTCATTCCCCTTCTGGCCAGGGGTGTAGTTCAGCTCTCTTCTGTAGTACCCAGGAGCCTGACAAGTCCAGTGGCATTTTATTTGAGATCTCAGCTGCTGAAGATAAAGGTTACTGAAAATAAACAGGGCTAAGCCTCTGTACAATAAGCACCATAACAGAACATACAGAATTCACAGTCATCTTCCCACATCTGCATTTTTCACTGGAAACAAAACAATGTGAAATTGCAGCATTGCTGTACAGCTCAATTTCCAAAAGAGCTGGGATGCAGTGAAAAATGTAAAGAAAATATACAAATCCATATTTAACATCAAGACAACATCAAATGTTGAACATGAGAATTTTTTTTGTATGAGAAATATATGTCCAATTTGAATTTGATATCGGCACCACGTTTCACAAAAAATTGGTACGGGGCAACAAAAGACTGGAAAAGTTATGTAATGCCATAATGGAACATCTGGTCGAATATCTCATAACTAATTAGGTTAATTGGAAACAGGTCAGTAAGATGACTGGGTGTAAAAAGAGCCTCCCGGAGAGGCAGGGTCTCTGTGCAGTGGAGATGGGGAGAGGGTCACCACTCTGTGCAGTGGAGATGGGGAGAGGGTCACCACTCTGACACACTGCGTGGGCAAACAGTGCAATAATTTCAGAATAATGTTCCTCAATGTGATATTGGGAAGAATTTGGAAATTTTATCATCTACGGTACATAACATCATTAAAAGATTCAGAGAATCTGGAGAAATCTCTGTACGCGAGGGACAAGGCTGGAAACCACTATTGGACAGCCATGATCTATGGGTCCACTGGCAGCACTGCATCAAAAACACAGGATTCTATAATGGAAATCACTGCATGGGCTCAGGAACACTTCAGAAAACCATTGTCTGTAAACACAGTTCCTTGCTGCATCCACAATTGCAGGATGAACCACTACCATGCAAAGAAGAAAACATCTACCGGTAAATATGATCCAGAAACGCCGCTGACTTCTGCGGGCCTGAGCTCATTTAAGATGGACAATTGTCCTGTGCTCTGATGAACCAAAATTTCAAATTACTTTTGGAAATCATGGACATTGCGTTCTCTGGGCTAAAGAGGAGAAGGACCATACAGCTTTTCATCAGAGGACAATTCAAAAGCCAGCATCTATTTTGGTATGGAGGTGCATGAGTGTCCATATGTTGGGTGGCTTGCATATGAGAAGGTACCATTAATGCTGAACGATATACAGGTTTTGGAGCATCATCTAGTGCCATCCAGACAACATCTTTTTCAGAGAAGGCCTTGTATATTTCAGCCTGACAATGGCAAACTGCATTCTGCACATATTACAACAGCCTGGCTCCGTAGCAGAAGAGTCCGGGTGCTAGATCTGTCATCCACTGAAAACATTTGGCACATCATGAAACAAAAAATACAACAAAAGGAGACCCTGAACTGTTGACCATTTGAAATCCTATATCGGGCAAGAATGGGACATTTCACTTTCAGAACTCCAGCAACTGGTCTGCTCAGTTCCCAAACGTTTGCAGAGTGTTGTTAAAAGAAGAGGTGATGCAACACAGTGGTGAACATGCCCCTATCCCAACTTTTGAAAAGTTTTGCTGGCATTAAATTCAAATTGAACATAAAATTTCTCAGCATTTGATGTAATCTTTGTTCTATTTTCAATTAAATATGGGTTCATACGTTTTGTAAATCACAGCATCCCAATTTTTGGAAATGGGGTTGTTTATAATGAGTGAAACCTCCATATGAAAATCTAGTTTAAAAGCAATTTTTATTAAACAGTCAAGTTATTTACTTTTACATAAAAATAAAATACAAATACGCACCTACATTAAGTCCAGCACAAAAAAAATATTAAAATTCCACGTAATATGGCAGATTGCAATTAAACCTCTGAAAACAGTTTCTGTCCAAACCCAAGTGATTGCCCTACACACACTGACAGCTCTCAGCCTCGCCTCTCAGAGAAAATGCCCAAAGTTAACTGTCCCAGGCAGGATATTGCAGTCCTTTGTTGTGGGACAGAAGCATTTATTAGACTTGTGGAGATAGCCAGCACCCCCCACCCCCCGCCAAACTGCCGAGGTCACAGCGCCTGTGAAAACACACAGCGGGGCCTTGCCACACTCAGGAGGCCGTGCTTCCCATGCTAATTTAGCGCCGTCCGCCCCGAGGTGGGCCCTGCCGTTGGCTCCCGCTTGTCGCCACCTCCCTCTCCTCCTTATCGGGCCCCTCGGTTCTGCAGCCTTTCATCCATAATGGGCTGCAGCACAAACCCGTAAACTTTCCCACCTTTCAAACTGCCCGTGTTCACTTATCAAATTTTTTTGGTAGCCAGTAACCTCATTATTCCTTATCTGTGTTCTGCAGTCACAACTAATTTTCCGTTTCAGATAAAAAAAAAAAAAAAACTACAATCATTTTCTGACTGGAAATTCTAGGTCCTTTCTGGACTAAAATCAACATAGAAAACAGTGTGACTTTGCAAAAATTTTAAGAACCTCACAATTGCATTGACTGGCCAAAGTGCCAACACAAATTAGAAATGCAACAATTACAGAGAACACATACAAAAAGAGAATGCACATGATCGGTGTCACCATAGGAACTGGATTTTAAGAAGAAAATATTGGCACACGAGTACCCTCAGACAGCACAGAGTTTGTTCTCTCCTGTCCAGGGCCAGGTGGCCAAGCTCAGCTGCTGGGGGCAGAAGATTCGGTGCTCTTGCTGTCCGCCTCTGAGTCGTCGCTGCTTTCGTCGCCACTACGGCCACTGGCCCCGCCCCCTGGGTGCTTCACCTCTGCCAGAGTGAGACCCCAGCCGCTTGCAGAGAGAGCGCCACCTGCCTTCGCAAAGTGCACAAGAACGGGAATGAGAAACACTTCATGCTCACATCTATTTAAATCTATTACTATCAACTTCATTTCAAGGGTCAAGTTTTATTATCATATGTCCCGAGAAACACTGTGATATTCTTGTCCTACAGTTGCAAGGGAAGGGGACAAGTTCATGTGGGGACAATAAGACAAACAGCAGTGCATTAAAAGACACAGCAGTGCAAGTCATAAGTGACATTTGGGCTCCCTTTCACATTTAAATAAAATAAATGATGACTGATCTTCACTGAGAAAATGAACAAATTAACCCTTTAAGGACTTTTCATTTTACTTTGCAGAAATTCATTTGGGTTGTTCCCCGATACCTTCTGCTCCTCATCTTGAATCAGGTCACAGATATCTTGGTGCCAACCCAGGATCTGTGCCAGCTTTCTGACAGAGTCCAGCAGGTCCCCCAGCTCCATGTAGTCCCCTCTGCGCAGTGGAACCCTCTGGAAGGGGCCCACTGGGTCCCGGTTCAGCAGCAGGCGGGGAACCGTGGACCTCACTGTGTTCACAAGGCTGGCAAAAGGCTCAATCTGCAACAGGAAAAAAGCCAACTCTGTGTCAACACTAGCATGGCACACACACACACACACACACACACACACACACACACACACACACACACACTTATAAAAGTGTGAATAAACTGTACAAGATAAAAATGTTGTTTTGTATGTCCCAACTTCGTTTTCCACATTTGGAGTAAAACAATGGCCAATTCTCCAATGGTAAACAATTCTTCAATGATGACTGAAACAAAAGTAGGAACAACTGACCAGGCACTATTTGGACACAACCTAAAATGCTTAATGACTTTCGTAAATGCAACACATCTAGAACCATTTATTGTTCATTTATCTAAAACTTATCTAAATAAAAAGAAACAACTTTTATATAGATTTACACTGTAACCACATCTCTGTTATAAATTAATGGATGTTTCATAACAGGAATACACAACCTCTTTTAAAGATTAACTGCATAAACACATGAATAATTTCATGTCATTATTATCACTTATAAACAAACTTCAACATCTGTAGCACAGGATTTAATTTTTTTCCCCTCCTTCTAGAATACTGTACAATAAAAGTATTCAGTTAAACTGAAGCAGTTATATTAATTATGTCTGGTATTTATCTTCTTATGTGAATTCTGATGAACATCTTAAAATTCTCTATCCCTGATTTCATTGCCAAAGCCAGGGCACTGGCCTGTATTTCCACCAGCCAAGTGGTCTTCTGTAATGTAAAATCATTCAAGTCACTCATAAGAACCTGCAAGGATCACCGGACAGAACAACGGCACCGTTTAAGCCAGTCAGCCGTTGAAATGCATACAGCAGCTCACCTGCAAAGACGTGCCCATGATGATAAGCAGGTCAGCCTTTGGAAAGTCTTTGATATGCTGGAAGTAGCTTTGGGGGAGATCCTCCCCAAAAAACACGATATCGGGTTTGACCGTCCCTTGGCAGAATGTACACAGAGGGACCCGGTCAGTCATGATGAATTTCTTTAAAATAAAGAGAGGGGGGGGGGAAAAAAACACTTATTTGAGTCATATTAGGCTGAATACGATAGATTTTAGCATAGTCTGACATCAGCAAATCGATAGAGTTTTCAAAGCAATATGAGGTAACTACACCCTATGCAAAGAATACCCAAGCCCCCCCCCGCCCCCCTGCAGCCCCATACTGTATAAGGGGGAAATTCCTAGAAGGCAGTGCCCAGATTTTCGATTCATCAGCCTCAAAACTTTAAAATCATCTAATGATCTAATGTGTGAAGAGGAAGTGTCACAAATTACAGACGAGATATAGCCTGTGCGTTCCTCCACCTTGGCTTCTTCAGCTGGAAACGGTGTGTAGCACAGGTGACAGGAAGCCGAAGCAAAGCTCCCGTGGGCCTCCACGAGCTTCTCCTCCGGAATTCCACACACTAGGTACATGGACAACACATCAACTGATCAATAATTGGTATCTATAAATTGTCCATATCAGGTCTTCACTATTTTACAGGGTCAACCACAATGAAGAGGGTCCTGAGGAATTAGTTTGTTTGAGAACTTGCAGAAATTCATGTTCCTTCAGTGAGGCTGACATGAGTAGGATGTCCGGTGTGTGGCCCTCACTCTGCTCCAGGCCGTCGATGTTCTGCGTGTACATTCGGAGCAGCAGGCCCTTCTGGTGCAGCATGCGGATGAAGTAGTGAACGTAGTTTGGCCGGTGGCGTCCAGGGTAGAGTTCTTTTGCCAAGGAGAAGAAGGGCCGTGGGTCGTTGGAGAAGAAGTCTATGTTGAAGATGGCTTCAGGGAAGGGGGTGTGGTACCTCTGGAGGTTCGCATACAGCCCAGTTCCCGGGGTTCTTTTTGGAGAAAGTCAGACGGTTAGGACATCAAAGGAGAAGGTGACGGAAGAGGCGGGGGACATGATCGCATGTGTACCTGAAGTCCGGGATGCCGCTGGCCGTGCTGATTCCCGCCCCCGCCACCACCAGCACGTTGCGACATCGGCCGAGCTTCAGTAAACGGGCTACAGAGTTCAGGGTGCCCCGGGGGACGGCTGTACGGATGGGTTTGGAGGCCAGCCTAGGGGGGCTGCGGGAAGACTTCATGCCTGGGGGGGTTCTGTGTCTGGGGGGAGCAGTGGCCTTCAGCTGTCTGCCTTTCCTGATAGAGCAGCAACACCACCATTCAAAAACAAGTAATTTATTCAAATAACTGGTTAATTAAGCCTCTTACTTGTAGGTCAACACTGCAGCGGAACTGAAAATGCTGAAAAACCCAAATAATGGAATTCCTACTGGCAAACTGGAAATCAATTTTGGTTTGATAGGACACTAACATGTAAGACGATGACGACTGGATCCTGAGTGCATCATTTTCACTCTCTATGGACCTATAGATCGGAATATATATGGGTCCTTCTCATTGTTTACCATAACATACCAATTAAAAAAAAAAAAAATTAGTTTGAAGCCAGATACAAATTATACAACTTCAATGCCAAATTTCTGCAATAAACAAAAAAATATTTCAAACCCAGGGCAAGGACAAATTGTACATTTTTAACTCATCCTAACTAAAAAGTTAAGGTGATGTCAAATATTTTGCACAAAAAACAAAAACAAACTGTATTTCACTGTAAGGTGTTTTTCAAGTTCCTCTTGTTTGCACGCTGGCTGAACATTTTTTAAAAGCAAAGGACTGTGGGAAAAGTACCCATGAGGGATGAAGCCTCACCTGGGCAAAGTGGCCTCCTGCTCACTCATGCTCATTAGACTGAGGTCCTGGGCCAGGGCCGAGTCGGCCTGCCTGCCACGCGGGGCGCCCTGATTGGGGGCCATCTGTGGGCCTGCTGATGCATCCTGTGGTACGGTTGGGTCGCCCTGCCTAGCTTGGGCAGAGGAGCTGCGGGTGACCCTGGAGAGCGTTAGCGGGACGGGTCTTCGTTCTTTGCTTGGTTTGGCCTTGCTCATGCTGCCCTCTACGAAGGAAACAGTCCAGATCTGTGAGACCACCCATCATGTTTGATTCTCTGTCACCATAAAGCTGCTCACAATGACTAGAATGAAGACATTGGCTTATTCCAAATCGACAAACATTTAATAAATCATAACTGGGTCATCCTTTAATAAAAAGAAACAACTTTTATATAGATTTACACTAACCACATCTCTGTTATAAATTAATGGATGTTTCATAACAGGAATACACAACCTCTTTTAAAGAGGTTAACTGCATAAACATGAATAATTTCATGTCATTATTATCACTTAT